CCCTGTCCCAATGCCCTGCCAGTGGTGACGCCTGTCCTTCCTTCTGCCAGTGGTGACTCGTTTTTTGCCCTACTAGTGTTGACCCGTCCCCCCAGCTGTGACCTCATCCTCTCTCCTGCCAGAGGTGACCCCTTTCCTTTCTCTTGCCAGCAGTGACCCCTGTCCTGCCAGTGGTGACCCCTGTTCTCCCTTTTACTAGTAGTGACCCCTGTCCTCTCTCCTGCCAGCAGTGACCCCTGTCCTCTCTCTTGCCAGTGGTGACCTGTTCCCTACTCTTCCAGTGGTGACCTCTGTGCTCTCCCCTGGCAATGGTGACACCTATCCTCTCTCATACTAGTGGTGACTTCTGACCTACCACTCGTGACCCCTTTTCTTACAACTGCCAGCAGTGACCCCTGTGCACTCTCCTGTCAGTGGTGACCCCTGTCCTCTCTCCTGCCATTTGTAACCCCTGTTCTCTCTCTTGCCAGCAGTGACCCCTATTCTCTATCCTGCCAGCGGTGACCCATGTCCTCTCTCCTGCCAGCAGTGACCCCTGTCCTCTCTCCTGCCAGTAGTGACCCCTGTCCTCTCTCCTGCCAGTAGTGACCCCTGTCCTCTCTCCTGCCAGCCGTCACCCCTGTCCTCTGCCCTGCCAGCAGGGACCCGTCTTCTCTCCTGCCAGCTGTGGCTTTTAGCCATTTGCCGCCCGCCCTATGGCCAAACGGTGGCCGGCTAATGTCATCAGCGTTCCGGGTGGACGCCATATGGCGTCCTCCCGCACATGCGCAGATTGCGCTCCTGCAGAGAGGCGCGATCTGTCACCAGCCGTGTACCTCGGACACGGCCGATGACAGATCTGAGTACCGGCCCTGTTGCCGGTACCATGTGACCTGTGGTGACCAATCACAGCAGGTCACATGACAGTTGTATACAATGGGCGGCTTCATTCATGCCATCCATTGTATACTACTGTCTAGCTGTGAATGGTCACAGCTAATCACATGCACATGTCATGTGATTAGCTGTGGCCAAATCACAGCTAAGCACGAAAAAAAAAAAAAAAAAAAAAAAAAACCCTGAATGAATCGATGTCATTCAGGAAAATGCTTGCTTATAGCAAAGTAATTCTTTGCTATAAGCAAATTGTAAAAAAAAAAAAAAAAAAAAAAAAAAAAATACTGATCACTTCCCCAAAGTAGTACAATGTTACTATGGTAACACTGTACTACTTTGGTCCAAGTGAAATATGAAAAAAAACATCTTAAAAAAAAAAAAAAAAAAAATAAAAAAAATATATATTTTTTTTCATACTGTCACCAGTCAGTGTCCCTGATCACCGCTATGCCAGTTATATGATGACGCTGTACTGCACTGGTGACAGTATGTAAAAAAAAAAAAAAAATAGTGAAATTCATTTTTTTAATTTTTAATTTTCCGAAAAAATTATGACAAAAAAAAATACAACTTCAAAAAACTCGCCATGCCTCTTATGAAGTACGTCGACTGTCTACTCTGCAAAAAGGGGTCATTTGGGGGATATCTGTCCTGTCCTGACATTTGGGGGATAAAATTTGGGGGATATCTGTACCGTTCTGACATTTGGGGGATATCTGTACTATTCTGACATTTGGGGGATATCTGTACTGTCCTGACATTTGGGGGATATCTGTACTGTTCTGACATTTGGGGGATATCTGTACTGTTCTGACATTCTTGGACCTCAAGAAATTAGATTGGCTGTCAGTACTTCAGGATTGATCAATTTTCAGATCTATACCATAGTTTGTGAACTCTATAACTTTCCTACAAACTAAATAATACATCCTAATTTGGGTTATTTTCACCAAAGACATGTAGCAGAATACATCTCGGCCTAAATTTATGAAGAATAATTATTTATTTGCAAACTTTTTATAACAGAAACAAAGAAAAACTTGTTTTTTTTTCAAACTTTTTGGTCTTTTTTTGTTAATTTAGCAAAAAATAAAAACCCCAGCGGTGATTAAATACCACCAAAAGAAAGCTCTAGTTGTGTGCAGAAAATAATAAAATTTTAGTTTGGGTACAATGTTGTATGACCGCGCAATTGTCATTCAAAGTGTGAGAGCGCTGAAACCTGAAAACTGGCCTGGGCAGGAAGGGGGAAAATTGCACGGTATTGAAATGGTTAAAGTATCACCTAAGAACAGTTTTAGGTTTCCAAAAATTTTCATAATTGCAACGGCACACACAATGTTTTTTTAATTCAATACCTTTTTTTATTATTATTTTACTCTTAACAAGATTGCCGTAAAAAAAAAAAAAAAAAAAAAAACAGAAAATAGTAAAGGAAGAAATCCAATTAGAGCAATTCTTTGCCGCCCATTTTTTGTTTCAGAAATAACTGGTCAGGAAGATCCCTTGTCTGGAGTGTGGAGGCGGAGTCATTATTATTGGTGTACAATACAATACACAACGTGTTCCATTATTATAACAAAGTATTGTAGAAAAGATCCCAACATAGAAAATGGGGGAAAGGAGGAAATAAACATAGACAGTAAGTGGAAATTTGTGTACGAGGAACAGCTTAACAATTACCACCATTTTATTCTCCAGGGCCTCTTAGAAAATAGATGTTTGGGGGTTTATCTCATCTTCAGGCCCAAAATCTGCATTTTCTCATGTGCGCAAAAACAGCTCTCGAGTGATTTCCATTTATTTAGAATGGAAAATACCACATTTGTTACTAGATGCTGCTAACTGCTAAAATACTTAGTGTCATCTAAAGGCCAAATGTGCTATATTTTTCATTTTAATCCAATGGTTGGTTTAAATAACTTGTGTTCTGCGATGTCTTCTGTACACATGAGTGCATGAATGTGATTTCAGTTAGTTGTACGGTGTCATGCCTGATGAAAGAAATGAAGAGGTCTATTGATAGAAAATGTGCTGGACATATGTTGCTTGCATTCATCCAGCGCTGACAATTCTGGCCATATTTTAACCCCTTCACGCCTAAGGGTAAAACAAATCTTGATGCCTAAGCAGGGGCGGACTGACCATTTGGAAACTCGGCACTGCCCGAGGGCCCGGGGTCAGTAGGGGGCCCCATGAGATGCCCCTGGTACCTTTTTCATAGCCTTTTTTGAGTTTGGGCAAGGACACAGGGGCCCCATGATCCCCTATTGCCCGGGGGCCCCATGAGTTGTAAGTCCACCCCCGCGCCTAAGCACAATTTTGTATGTGTTAGTAAAACTGTACATATCACAACTACTTTGTATATCTGGGTGAATTATACCGCCTTTTTTTCAGGACAAATTGGGCTTTCATTTGATGGTAAATGGTAATGGATATCTCCTGATTTTTTTTATCAATGGAAAATGGCCCAAAATAGTAAAAAAAAATATTTTTTAAACTTGTGTTTCTTGTTACTACCATAACCTACCACCAAAGAACAACCCAAAAAAAAAATTTCCAGCTCTTGACGATCGCAGCGATACCATATATGTGTATATTATTTGTTGTTTGTACCAGTAGTACAGCCCAGAAACAATAGTGCGCATTTTGTTTTTTTGGGGGGTTTGTTACCTAAAACACACTGACACCTAATTAAAAAAAATAATTCGAACCTTTGACCCTTTCACCCTAAGCTTGACCCAAACACTTACCCTGGCACTGGACCTTGATCTAGGTATTTTTCCTTTTATTTTTCTATATTTATCTTTTTTTCTTTTTAAAGCGGAGCTCAACCCAAAAGGGGAAGTTCCACTTTAAGTCTCCCTGTAGTATTCTGGGACATGCGACAGATCCTAAAAGACTACGGGGCCATTCACAAACCACAGCGCTTCTCGCACATATGCAGTGCTTCTCGCACATGTGCAGTGGGCATCCAACAGGTCCCAGAAGACAACGGGGCCATTCACAAAGCGCAACGCTTCTCGCACATGTGCAGTGGGCACCTGACAGGTCCCAGAAGACAACGGGGCCATTCACAAAGCGCAGCGCTTCTTGCACATGTGCAGTGGGCACCCGACATGTCCCAGAAGACAACAGGGCCATTCACAAAGCGCAGTGCTTCTCATGCATGCGTAGTAGGGACCCGGCTAAGAAGCCACAAGCTGTCACAGCCAGGTGCCAACACTGAAGATGCCGGTGCCAGGGAGAGAAGATGGCCGGTGAAACCAGACGTGGTGAGGACGCCATTGGATTCTGGGACAAGTAAGCGGCTGTATCTTAAAAGTCAGCAGGCACAGTTTTTGTAGCTGCTCGTTTTTTTTTTTTTTTTTTTCCAGCTGGAACTCCGCTTTAACAAACTTTTTTTTTCTCTAGGCCAGGAATTAGAAAGATACAATGTATCTCTCTCCTTCATTCATAAAGAAAAAAAAAAACAAGGGGGGTGGGCTATAGAGTGACTGATCACTGTGATAGCCAATCACATACTATCACAGCAATCATGTGACCTGGAATCAGGAGTCCCAGGTCTCTCAGTGACACCCCGGTGTTTGTGCTGGGAGCACGCTGTGCTGCACACTCCCAGCACAAAAACAGTTACGCAAATATGCGGTCCCACAGAAAAAAGCCCAGTTCTGTGAGGCTGCATTTTGTGTGATATTGGCGCGAAGGGGTTAAATAACACAGTGATTTCCTATGATTGCCAGCTCCATCTACTGACCATAACGGGGTATTTTTCCTGAAATACCTAATTCATTAAAAATAATGCAATACTGCATTATGGTCACTAGATAAAGCCAAGGAAATCAGTGTATGAAATGAAATATGGCCAATATTTATCATGGCTGGGCGAACGCCGGTCACACTGTTTCTTCCATGATGATCAGCCATGGAGTATCTGAGGTGTATATCAGGGTGTGCTTCTTCCCCACATGAGAGCTGGGATGTCCAGCAACATTCATCTAGAAGAGATTTCCCGCACTCAAGGCACTAATACACCTCCAGGGTTGTGTGGGACCCCTGATGTACAGGAAGACAGGACTTCAGTGAGGAACATTTCCCTCATTCAGGACAGGAAAGTGGCTTCTCCCCTGTGTGAGATCTCTGATGTCTGGAAAGATTGGACTTCACTGAAAAACATTTCCCGCACTCAGGACAGGAAAAGTGGCTTCTCCCCTGTGTGAGATCTGATGTCTGAAAGATTTGACTTCACTGAAAAACATTTCCCGCACTCAGGACAGGAACGTGGCTTCTCCCCTGTGTGAGATCTCTGATGTGTAGAAAGTGGACTTCTGTGAAAAACATTTCTTGCACTCAGAAACAGGAATACGGCTTCTCCCCTGTGTGAGATCTCTGATGTATGATAAGTTCTGATTTTTATGAAAAAACATTTCCCACACTCAGAACAGGAATACGGCTTCTCCCCGTGTGAGATCTCTGATGTATATAAAGACTGGACTTCTTGAAAAAAAAAAGGAAATGCCTTGTCTTCAGTGTGAGATCTCTGATCTGTAAAGACAGGATTTTATGAAAAACATTTCCCACACTCAGGACAGGAATGTGGCTTCTCCCCGTGTGAGATCTCTGATGTCTGACAAGATCTGATTTTTGAAAAACATTTCCCTCACTCAGAACAGGAATACAGCTTTTCACCTGTGTGAGATCTCTGATGTCTGTAAAGATTGGATTGATCTGAAAAACATTTCCTGCACTCAGGACAGGAATATGGCTTCTCCCCCGTGTGAGATCTCTGATGTGTGAAAGTTTTGATTTTACTACAAAACATTTCCCGCACTCAGGACAGGAATACGGCTTCTCACCTGTGTGAGATCTTTGATGTGTGATAAAAGGACTTGTCTGAAAAACATTTCCCACACTCAGGACAGGATACGGCTTTTCCCCCGTGTGAAGTCTTTGATGTGTGACAAGATGTGATTTTTGTAAAAAACATTTCCCACACTCAGGACAGGAATACGGCTTCTCCCCCGTGTGAGATCTTTTATGCACATTAAGATTGAATTGAGAACGGAAACCCTTCCCGCACTCAGTACAGGAGAAGCTCTTCCCTGTTGGAAGGCCGGCCCGGTCCTGCACAGTCTGAGGTTCCTCAGGATACGAGGAATCCGATGGTCCATCTACACTGGGTGGTGCCGGATGGACATTGGAGGGAGCCGGGTTTTCTCCTGGACTATACTGTGTGATGTCCTCATCTTCTACTTTCCAGTCTGGAGACAAAGTGAGACAATCCTCGGAGGTTTTCCTCATCTCCCGGCCATGGACTAAAATACAAAGACAAAGAGGATTACTAGACAGGAGCTGATTGGTTCCCCCAAACCAGGACTCCGCCCACATCAGGCAGCTTGGTCTCTGAGGAGCTTACAATTCCACCCTCAAGGGAACTAGGAAATGGCTCCTCTGATCTCCTACCAGGTCATTTCTTTATTCATGGACCTTAGTCAGAGAGTGAGGAAACAACCAGAACTGTCTTTTATAGGAGGGACAGTGATGAGGGGATTATAGGACGAGGGTCCCCACCCCCTCTATCACTCATCGCCATCTTCCCAACACAAGAAGTACTGCACTTCCTTATTTAGTCCATGATTTAGTCATGAAGAACAGCGGGGCTGAGCCCCACCAGAGGTCAGAGAGTGAGGATGGGGGGAGAACAAACCAAGATGAAGACTGGACTGATCCTGAAGACCACCATCATTGGGGTATTGACTCCTCCCTCATTATCACTTTTCTCATTAGGGTCCAATCAGTTGGAGGATGTGCCCCATTATTATCACCATGTAAAAGTCTGATTGCTATCAATCACATCAGCAGTATAAAGTGTATATCCAGCTGCAGGGGTCAGGAGTACGTAATATACAAGTGAATCAAAATTTTGCATATATGGCAGAAATTGTGAAATTGTGGCATTGATATTGAAAATCAGGACTGATCATGTAATGTACAAATGAGTCTTTTAGTGAAGGGGATCATATGAAGTATGTTATGTACAACATAGAGTATATAGTGCAGGGGTCAGGAGTAAATGTAATGTACAACATAGAGTATATAGTGCAAATGGCCAGGATCAGAATGTACTCCGCCCCCTGGTAATAGTGCAGGCCTTGGTAGGAGTATGTAATGTACACACACAGAGCTAAAAGTGCAGGGGTTAAAAGGTGTAATTTACCACATAGTGGCTTTATAAAGTGCAGGGGTCAGGTGTATAAATGTACAACATTGAGTTTGTTAGCTCTTACTTGTAAGCACATGAGTATAGGCTAGATACTGAGCCATGGGGAGCAGAAAAGAACTGTCAAAAATCCTGCGTAATCATGTATCAACATAGAGTATATAGTGCAGGGGTCATAAAAGTAATGTATCAACATATTATCAATATCAGGGGTCAGGAAATAATTACACAATTTAGTGCAGGGGATCAAACTTTTGAGCACAACTGTACAATATAAAAATTATAATGTAATGGTCAGGACTCATAATATTGGTATTCAGCTAATCAGTGGCAGTTTAAATGTTTACTGTAGACAAGTTGCAGAGATCCCACACCGCTGCCTCCCATCTCCTGAGACTGCACTCAGTGACTTGGGTCTGAGACTCCACTACAGACATATCCCTCCACCCGGCACAGCCAGCAGACACAGACTAATCTTGGGGAATGGAGCAGGGATCCAAGACACCCCAGGTGCCTAGGTCTAGTAATTGTTCTGTCAGAGATCTTAATGTACATCAACATCTTTGGAGAACCTTCTTCCATGCCAGGGCATTGAAAATGGGTCGTGGAGATGTTCCAAGACACACACATGGCCCCAGTGCTCTAGTACATTAACACAGTGTATGGTGAAAATGAACATTTTGCTGCCAGCTGAACCCCAGAACCTCCATAAATCCAGTCTAGATACATAAATTGTGTCTGCAGCACAGAGAAGGAAGATTATCCGAGAGAAATCCAGGAATACAGGACGGGGAACACAGCTCAGGAAAGTGACCAGGGGATTACAGGCTGATATCACCCAGTCCCCGCCCTACTCTGGACCAATCAGTGAGCAGTATGGGTGGAGGAATGGATTTAGTGTTCATGACCCACCTGTGCTGATCTCTGTAGGAGTGTCCTCCTCTATAAATGTCCCCGTTATTCCATCCTCCTCCATAGACTGCTGATCATCCCTCACATACGCCTCTTCTTCTTCTGATTTACCTCAACTTTTATATCTATCAGATCTTCACCCTAAACCAAGAAAATTTGAAAAAATCATCATCTGTAAAATATAAGCTCACATAAAAAAATCCACACATCATCTCCACAAATCCATGTTCTGATTCTCTGTCTCACCAACCTTGTAATGGTGAGGGATGGTGTGACCTTCCTGTGTGGAATCCCGGGAATACAGAGGACGGGGACATCTCTCTGGTGGGTTCCTGGTATTAGGTGGCTCCATCATATCCTTGTGTCCTTCTGAAAACTCCTCCATCACTCCATACTCCTCATCCTCCTCTTTATACTCTTCTTTAACAACAATATTATAATCCCAAGGTTTCCACTCTAAATATATAATAAACATTCATTGTAACAAACATGCTGTGTATAAATCACAACTACCAATAATTGTCATCTACCTGATGATGGTGAGGGATGGTGTGATCTTCCTGTGTGGAATCCGGGAATACAGAGGACGGGGACATCTCTCTGGTGGGTTCCTGGTATTAGATGGCTCCATCATATCCTTGTGTCCTTCTGAGAACTCCTCCATCACTCCATACTCCTCATCCTCCTCTTTATACTCTTTTTTAACATCAATATTATCATCCCCGAGGATTCCACTCTGAATATATAATAAAAATGACATCAATATTTGGCCTAGGAGAGGAATTTATTACATGGGTTAAGTTAGTAGATCAAGCCCCAACAGCTCACCCTAAAATTAACAACACTTTATCTCCCCTACAATACGAAAACCTGATGCTGCGCTACTCGACAACCACCTAAACAGTGAAAATAATACGCCCAAAAAAATCCCATCCATGAACAAATATGATGGTGAATAAACGTAAATATAGAATTATAAATGTAAGGTGAACTAAAATAAATATATATATAGTAGAGATGAATAGATATGGCATGAATCAATCAAATGTGAATAACACCGACACAATGTGCTAAAAATCCCAATAAAAATAGGCGACCAAAAAATATTTTAGATATAAGTAAATACATAAATACAGGTGAAACTCGAAAAATTTAAATATGGTGCAAAAGTTCATTTATTTCAGTGCAGCAACTTAAAAGGTGAAACTAATATATGAGATAGACTCATTACATGCAAAGCAAGATAGTCCAAGCCGTGATTTGTCATCATTGTGATGATTATGGCTTACAGCTCATGAAAACCCCAAATCCACAATCTCAGAAAATGAGAATATTCCATGCAATCAATAAAACAAGGATTGTACATAGAACAATATCGGACCTCTGACAAGTAGAAGCTGCATATGTACTCAGTACTTGGTTTGGGCCCCTTTTGCAGCAATTACTGCCTCAATGCGGCGTGGCATGGAAGCTATCAGCCTGTGGCACTGCTGAGGTGTTATGGAAGACCAGGATGCTTCAATAGCGGCCTTCAGCTCTTCTGCATTGTTCGGTCTCATGTCTCATGGAGGAATAGTACCCTTGCTTTGCATGTAATGAGTCTCATATATTTGTTTCATGTTTTAAGTTGCGGTACTGAAATAAATGAACGATATTCTAATTTTTCGAGTTTCACCTGTATATATAAGTAAATAAATAAATGAACAAGTGTGCAAATAAAAAGTCCAACACGGGAGTGCACAGTCCCAATAAATCAGTGTATCTTCAGGAACAGAACGGTGAAAAATCCAGTGACCACTACAGAATAACACAAGGGGTCATAAAAGTTTGGAATGCACTCCAATGATGATATGCCTGTGAATCCCCTCGATGGTTATCCGGGAAATCTTCAATGGTGGAGACAATGAGCACTCATACAACATGCCAATGATAGTAATGGCTCCGAGGTCCCTGCGCGGAGCTGGCCAGACACTCTCCGCTTTTAAAATGTGTTTGCTCCCTATTAGGTGGAGACGGGCAGTATTCATTCCATCACCAGATCTTCAGTGCGGCAGGAGAACCTCCCCAATAAGGAGAGGTACTGGGCAGGGATGCCCGCTGTCTCCTTTACTGTTTGCTTTGGCACTGAATCGGCTATTCGGAGTGATTTTCGGATAGTGGGATTCCAGAGAGGTGAGATGGAGGAGAATTCGCATTGTATGCGAAATGATGCATTATTATTTGTAGGAGATACATCTACATCCATAGGTTTGATGTCTCTTATTAATACTTTTGGGTTCTACTCAGGTTTCAATATAAATTGGAGCAAGCCCGTTTTCCTGCCGGTTGACCCTCTCAGAGACCCCTTGCCACCGACTGCTTCTCAGAAAAAGGTGGTAGAAACATTTGTACAGTGAAGGAAATGCGTATTTGCTCCCCTGCTGATTTTGAATGTTTGCCCCTCACAAAGAAATGATCGGTCTAAAAATCGAATGTTCGGTGTATTGTAACACTGAGAGACAGAATAGCAACAACAAATTCAGCAGAAATGCATGTCTAACAAATGATGACTGATCTGCATGTTCATGAGGGAAATAAGTATTTGCTCCCCTGCTGATGTTGAATGTTTGCCCACTTACAAAGAAACGATCAGTCTAAACATCGAATGTTCGGTGTATTGTAACACAGAGACAGAATACAACAACAAATTC